CGTATACCTCATTGTTTCTGAGGAAGTGTTTAGTGGAATACTTACATACAAGTATATATTGCATATATGTATATATGTACGGGATATATATCATATTCTTTTCGCGGCAACTCTCACATGTATGCAGATTGTTTGAACAGCCGCGACTGTGCTCAACACATGTCCACAAAACCAAAAAAAAAAAAAAAAAAAAAAAAAAAAAAAAAANAATAAAACTAAAAAAATAGCTTCCTCCTTTTGCTAAACAAAATCCTTCAATATGCAAACTGCACACCACTACAATTTCCAAATCAATCCTTTTCATTCCCTTCAAATTGTTGTTGCGACTTAACACATTCATTCAACTCAGCTCATAAGGAATGTGTACACTAGTCCCTCAGTGCAGTAATATAGTCATTTCGACTTGACATTATCTTGCTGATTTTTTGGATTTTTAATTGTTTTTAACATTAATTGCCGAGGCGGTGGCCTTTCTTCCAAGAAAGAACTCCAACTGTGTGTCGTCGCCACGTCGCATATGTGCATAATTAGGGGCCTGAGTGTGTTGTGGTGTCAGTGCTGCATGTATAGATAGTACATACGTGTATGTAGATTTGAGGCACTCGCTTGCGAAGAGGATGATGTATGCATTCACATATATGTATGTAAGTCAATATGATAGTGGATTCGTGGGGGAGCAAGTGCTGTGCCTTTTGGATTCTTCTATTTATACAGCATCCTGCAGCATTTCAACACTTTTCCAGTGGGAGTTTTTATATGGTATAATATATTTAATTTTTCTTTTTTTCAAGCGGAAGTTTGTCTTTGAACTCTTGTCAATATGAACGCATTCCCATTCCCATTCCCATAAATTGTTGCTTGGCAATGCGCATGTCTTTTGGAGATTGGAAAGAACTCATAAATATATAAGCTCCATATTAAGTTGTTGCCGCTGTTGGTCAGTGGCCAATGCACTTATACCAATAGACCCATAATGATACCGTTATTAGGCTTCATCTCATCTTCTCAAATGTTCGAACCATTTCGTATGTCTCAGAACGGCAACGAGATTACTAGTTTTTACCGAAGTTAGTTCAGTGAGACAGTCAAAGAAGTTTTTCCCGAGGAGCACGTGTCGCACAGATATCAAGGCTGGAAAGTGACAGAGGTAGGATTCAATAGACCCTTTCTCTTCTCGTCCCTACAGCTAACACAAAAATCATTAGCCTGATATCCCATTATTTTTTCCGGGAAGTTGCATTAAAGAGGAATCAGTTATTACACCTATCGTTATATTAATGGTGTTTACGCGAGGAGCGTAAGTCCTTGCCTAAATTTGGGCGTTGTTATTTGACTTCTTGCATTCTGGTATACGAGTATATGCAAGAATGCGATTCTCAAATGATCAGCCGAGGGATACGGCTAAAGAGCTTATTGTTCACCATGGAGTTTACCGTCTTAAGGTCTAGATGGCGTCTGCGCAGGGTTAGTTGCCTCGTATAGCATTGGGTAAAAGATCACGCTTTGGAACGAGCCTTGTGTTCAATTTGAATACATTTCAAACATTCTCTCCATCCTATTAGACAAATGGCGAACAGGATAAGATGCCTTGATTTTTTCGCGTACAATTTTGCCCCTAAATGTCATTGCACGTAATCTCATTCAGCCATCTTGAGCCTGCTTTTTTGTCAAGAAGAGTTCGTCTACCTTCCCGGGTACCCCGATCACGGCAGTATTGCACTTAGTCGAGAGGTTTTTCAGATTGCTTCCTAATTTTATAGCCACTTTTGCTGTGGTACTGTTACACCATAAAAATCTAAAGCAGCTTGGCTATTGAATATATTTCAGCTGATTGTTCTGCTACCATAGATTTGAGCAGCCAGTCGGCAGCTTATTGAGATCATTGGAGAGTACATTCCACAGTCCCTTTTTTCATCGAACTTCGAGCTGCCCTAAAAAATGACTTTTGCTCCCTGATCGAGAGCGTTGGTAATTTCCCATTCATTCCCCTTTAGGATTCTTGTGGAAAAAGGGTTGGCAAAGTACAAACTTCTTTCAGGTTGAGTTGCATTCAATCTAATTGTAGCTCGCTTTTAATTTGCCATACGGGCTCACAGGAAGGAAGTTGAGGAGAGTTATCAATGTTTTTGAAGGAGTCGATAGAATAGCGACGGACCGTTGAACTTTCTCTAGTAGCTCTTTACGTTATTATGGCTAAACAACTTTTAAAAAATGTGAGCTTTGGAAAACTTAAAGGGTTGTATAAGCTGAAGCTGAATAACTCGCGAATCTCTGCCAGGATCAGGAAGACTCACTCCGAGTTATTTGGTTTAAAAAAAAAAATCGGAAAGATACAGCAAAAATTGGTCTTAAATGTAGAGCCGTTAGTGCCGCTCTTTTAAGACTCAACAAGAAAGTAACGCGAGTAACAAGACGAAAGGGCAAACCAGAACCTTCTACAAAAGGGGCCAAACTTCCCCAAACTTCGTGAGTGACCCACTGAATGGTGTTTGAGAGCTGATAACATCCGATTAAATGATACCATAGTTCTCGAATGAGTCGGTCGCAATAGCCGAGTGCTTAGCATTGCGTACTGCCATTCAGAGGGCTTAGGTTTAAAACCTAAATTGCGGTCACCTCTCCGACTGTATTTCTATCATAAAATAAAGCTCCTCATAAACAAGCCATCAGCCGTTCGGAGACGGTTTAGTATAAACTGTAGGTCCATTTATTTGTTGGAAAAAACATCAAGACGCAAAACCACAAATTGGAGGAGGAGCTCGGCCGAAAAACGCTTCAGCGCTTACAAAGCGCTAATTGTATATATATGTATATTTAGTTCTCGAAACTAAATACACCGACTACGTTGAGACGTTCGTGCCATTTGGATGGCCCAAATGGAAAAGTTTTGATATATTACCCGTAACAGGTGAAGAGAATCTTGTCTTTATTTGGTGTCTCCAAATATCTTGGCTTGCCTAATAGAGGACTTTTGAGGCTTCGGCGGGTTTGTCATGGAGAGCTTATGTTCGAGTTGAGCAATATTGTGATCCACTATATGTTGACATGGACGATTTCTTCTGCATCGTTAAAGGCCGTTAAAAATTTGTTTGAATATTTAAGCCACAGAATGATAATATCTACCTTGGCAAGATCACGATGCTCTCATGATGTGATCTGGATGATTCTCATGTTATCACATCACCACTTCGCTTGTATTCAAATCACATCACATTGCAATTTAATCATCACATCAATAACACTGCGATCACTTATCTGCGAGAGTACCTGTCGATCGCCATCTACACACACCCAGGGAGAGTGCGAGAGGGAGAGTAAGGGAGAGAGAGAGAGAGAGAGAGCGAGTTCGCTAGTACAAGTGCCTCAGCAATCAAACAACATGTGCGAACGCTGGCCACCGATGTCTGGCATAAGTTGGCGGAGAAAATATACTTATATGTATGTAGATATGCACGTATGTATGTATAAGTGCAGTAATGAGGGATATTTGCTTTATATTTCGTGTAGCCAAAAGAATTAGCTGCAAGCAGCTCCATGCGCCAACCAGCCATGTGTGCTTTTACCTAAACCGGCCGGGCGTTATTCACACCGTGTATGCGCTGCAGTTGCAACGTGCGATAAGCGCATGTGGCACGACTCATTCAGACTTTTTGATGTTGCGCTGTAGCGGTGCAGCGGTGCAATATTGAGATACTCTACTCCTCAGCTTATTTACATGCTCTTATGAAATGCCAATGAATGTATGCGTATGTGTGTGTGTGTGCATGTGTCTGTTGGCAAGTGTGATATTTTTGTAACAGCAGTAAAAGTTGCAAGTGGAATTGCAGGCACGTCAAAAATTCTTATTTCGTGCACAAGCGAGAGTGACATAGTCACTTATATTTTTATAAATATCTATCTGCCAATGTGTGCATGTGTGTTTTTTGTATGTTTGTTTGGGTATATGCCTAATGAGTGCTTGTAAAATGAAACTGGAGCAAATGTGTGCTAAATATTGTGCATTAAAATATATTTATGTATGTATGTAAATGTTGCAAGTATTTGTGTCCCTTACTCTTTACTCTTTTCTCTTTACTGTTTTTTATTTTCAATGTGTGTGTAATTTGCTTATGTAATTTTTTATAAGAAACTATAAAAATGGCGCGAAATGATAAAACTTTGTATTAAAAAATGAAAATAAAGTTTTTATCGCGAAAAAAAAACACCGCTAAAAACGAAAAAGTTATAGAAAGTGCTGATAGCAAAGCGACTTGAAAAAAATGGATAAGAGAATTGAAAAAATAATAAATAAAATAAAAATACAACAGCAAGTACAACAAAACAATACAATCGCTAAGCTACATGCATATATTTCCGAGCCGTGAATTGTTTGCGCGCGCGCCCGTGTGTGTGTGTGTGTGTGTTATCAATATCCGCTTAGAACGCTACGAGTCCCCAAAGACTGCTCCAAAGCTGCGAGCAGAACTATTGTATTACATATATACTCCTATGAAACATTCTGCATTTGTATGTATGTGTGTATGGTAGTGGGTGTTTGGGTGACTGAGGTACTTACATACACTTATACAAATGTACCGTGCTGCTGGCGGCCAGCCGATCGCGTTCGTTTGCCAGAATAACGCCAGAAAAAAGCGGAAGCGCAATCTCACACATAATAAATATGTTATATCCAAGCATGGCACAACGTCTCCGCTTGCTCCAAATGCTCCAAATGTTTTTACTAAATGTCTGTATGTGTGCTTTGTATGTGTGTGTAGATCGTTGCTGGATTCTGACTGCGGATCGTCCGTTGTTGGAAGGCGATCCACTGTTATTTTCGTTTGGTGTTTGTTTCATTCATATTCAAGTATATTACTTTGGCTTTGGTTTTTGTTGTTCTTTCTTTTTGTTTTTGCCTTTGTGATTTGTGTATGTAGTTGTATTGTGCTGTTCCACCACCGACCACTATTCACACTACTAACTGCGATCGCTGGTGCTGTCGATGTGATCAGTTGCGTGTTGGCGTTCCTGTCCAACGGGTGTGCTTTCCTTATTCGCTCGCGTTCGCGAACTGTTGTAAGCAGTAGTACATAAGTGTCCTTTGCGATCAAGCGAAGGACAATTGGAATTGGTTTGTGTTGTGAAATTGTAAAACAAGAAGAATTGTTTTTATTTAATTTTTTAGTTTTGGAAACACATATATAAATATCGAATTTGCGATAATTTACTGTTGCGCATCACAAAAAATACAAATAGTGTGCTTAAGCGCAAAACGTTATCCTTGTCAGCCAGGGCGGCAAAAAAAAAAATTATTAACAATAATTGAATGGTTGAAAAAGAAAAGCACAAACACACATGATCAGTGAAGTTTAAAATTATAGCAAATATTTGTGAAAACATTAGATAAAGTGTTTGTGTTAAATAAATACATTAATGTGCCATATTTAATATTGTACACAAATACATCTTTAACCGTTAAGGCGAGGGTGCAAAAAAAATTTGGAGGCTCAGCGCATTAAATAACAAACAACAAAATGGATTTATCAAGGCGGTTGCGGTAAGAATAAAAACTTAAATAAGCGGAAATCAACAAATTCTTAGGAAAAAACAAACACAATCACTATTATGAATATTATGAAGCATTAAAAAATTATAAATATAAATAAAAAATAAGAAAAATTAACAAGAAAAAAGTTTGAGCAGAATTAATTAAAGAATAAAATTACGTTAAATTAATAATGATTAAAAAAAACGACATTCCATTTCATGTAGATCAAATTACTTTGTCAGTCTAAAAAAAATTATATAACCTTAAATAAAATAAAACAAGAACAAATAAAAAATTAATATAAAAGAATAAATCAAATTGAATTAAAAGTAAAAATAAATATATACAATAATTACAATATTAATAAAATAAATTACAAATTAATTACAAATATTAATAAAATAAATTAAGATAATATTAGATTATAAAAAATTGAAAAAATTAAGTGAAATAAAATAACATGAAATAATAAACTAAATTAGATTAAGTAAGATAATTTCATATCAAATAAAGTATAATGAAATAAAACGAAAAAATAAATCAAAATAAAGTACAATAAAACAAATTAATGAATAAAGTGAAATAAAAAATAATAAATATACAATAAAATAAAATAAAGCATAAATGATATAATATAAAATAAAATAACATTAAAAAGCTATATAATAATATAACATAAATTATTATAAAATGAAATAAAATAAAAATAAAACTAATTCAAAATTAAATAGATATTTTTTTCCTAGGAGTAGAAGAAAAATGTGTTGTCACATCAATGGTATATGCCAGTTGCAAATCACTAAAAAGCCCTCTCCTAAGGAACCGTCGCCCAACCTGAAACCCCTTTCGCACTACTTCAGATTGACGTGCCATTTTTCTCATAGTGAGACTTACATCTCTCCAGGTTCTCTCCTAGCACGCGTTCTATAAGTTTTTTCACGAGAGCATGACTCAGACGATGTTGTCTGCATTTAGTTGGCATTATGGAAGTTTCTCAGTCTTTCCTATTTTGTCTAAATTTTTCTGGAAGTAGCCATGCTGGAATTTCCACTTCTTATTTCCTGTTACTTCACACTTGAGCATTTTTTTTTAACCTGCTCCATCGGCTTTGGATTTCTGATTCCCATCGGATTTGTGACTTGTTCAGGATTTCCTTTCGTATGTCCTCTATTGTGGTATTGGGCTCATTTTTCTTGGGCTCATTACTTGAGTGCCCAGTTCCTCTACTTTCCGGATGCTAAGAGGTCTATATACTTTCGACAGTATCTTTTGTCGGCTGTTTTTCTTAAGTGAGTCATAATAGAATAAAAAAATTAAAATGAAATATAATTAAGGAAAATAACAAAAAAATAATATTAAATTATTTGAAACAAAATAACATAAAATAAAATATATTAATTAAAATATTGTAAAACGAAGTAAAATAAAATAAAAAAAAATAAAATAAAATAATATAAAATAAAATAAAATAAAATAGAATAAAATAAAATAAAATAAAATAAAATAAAATAAAATAAAATAAAATAAAATAAAATAAAATAAAATGCAATAAAATACAATAAAATAAAATAAAGTAAAATAAAATAAAATAAAATAAAATAAAATAATATAAAATTAACTTAAATAAAATTAAATTTATTCAAACCAATTATAATAAAATAAAATAAAGTTAAGTAAAATAAAATACAATGAAACAAAATTAAGGCAAATCAAATATAACAAAATAAAATTAATTAAAAAAAAAGTAAAATAAAATAAAAGAATATAAAATCAAAAAGAATAAAAAATAGGCATGTGAAAATGAAAGCACATAAAAATATATTTAATATGATGTTAACTTAATTGCAAGTCCTATTACTTACAGCCCCTAGCTGCAGACAATATTATATGTTATAATAGAAAATCAATCAATTTTATTTAGATTGTGATTAAACATTTTGCTGTTGACTGCGCATACACAATCATACCTACATAGCACATTCATTCCCATACATATATCTATACATCAGTCTGTTGTGCGATTGATTGAGTCTCTTTGTGTGCTATGCAAATTAATATGTCAATAAAGGATTTTAATTTAATTTCAAAATGTTTGTGCACGTACTTTCTGATATTTTACACACTCTGCAGTGCATTGTGCTTGTGTGCGTATATGTACATATGTCATATGTGCTTGCGTCTATAGTAATGTTTTGATAGCAAGGATATACGTAAATCTATTACGTATGAATGTTTAAATGTATGTACTCAGGCATATAGAGTGTAGCTAAGGACCTTTGGAAGTCTAAAATCATTCATAGTTTTATACATATATATTTTTGCACGTATGTGTTATTGCGTCAATGTAAAATCCAAATCGCAGTAATTATTGCTACTTTCGTTTGCTAGAGATTTCAATTAAATCTCCTCCATTTTTTATATCTACTCGCCCGTCTGTTTAACTGTGCCACATTTGTTTATTATCCGCGTGACATATTTGTTATTACACAATTACAGTAGTGTTAAACAAAATATTGAACTCAGCTCAATACCATAGTGAGCTATGTACGTTAAACAGCAAATATCATTTAAATTGTTGATTTTGTAGTTAATTTCAATGCTTCTCCACTTTCACTATTTTCAAATTTTTTTTTAGTATTTAATTCAATAAAATATACACAAACCTTCTTAAAGAGAATGAAAAAAGTTTGGTTTTCTTTGTACAAATGTGAATGAAATATTTTCGGTGCATTTCGTGTAGACGTATTCTCAATCTTCTTCTTCTTCTTCTTCTTCTTTATTGGCGTAAACCCCACTTACACGATTAAAGCCGAATCAGCACTAGCGCGCCTTTCATCTCTTTTTATCTAACTACAGTCGGGCCCTTCTGCACCTGGTCTCTTGCTCCTCCTCTGTTTCCGTTGGTGGGAACTACATCGGAAACTTTCACAGCTGCAGTATTCATATCCATCCGAGTCACATAACCGGTTCGCTCCTAGCGTTTCCGCTGCCTCTTGATTTGCTGAACAATGCTAATTTCACCGTATATCTTACACGCAAAACATTTCTCTCGAAAACTGCTAACACCGATTCAGCAGATCTTGTCATATGAATAATGAGTGACTTGAAGTTTTTGTACATCGAGAGAGGACTTTACTTTTCAAATGCCTCAGTCCGAAGTAGAAACTCTTGGCAATAGTGATTCTGCGGTGGATTTCAGGGTTGACATTAGTACTGGTGTTAATGCTGGTTCCTAGATAGACGAAAATATCTACGACTTCAAAGTTATGACTATTAACAGTGACGTGGGAGCTGACTGCTTGTTTGATGACAGGAGCTATTTCAGCTTATCCTCGTCCTTATCAAGGTTGGCGAAAGCAGAATTAACGGCGCGGTTGTGATATAAATATCATCCGCTTACGCCAGCAGTTGTACACTCTCTTCAGTATCAAATTGAAACGCTTAAAACCGAACGACTTGCTTTGCAGGAATAACAAATTCAGACACATCGTCGAAGGTAGATATAAAATCAATAAAAAAGTTGAATATCTGGTCAATGGGAATTTTTTTCGAACACAGAGGCGAGTGAGAATGTTCACAAGATAGTGATCCGAGTCGATGTTAGGTTCTCGTAACGTACCCATCTAGGAAACTGGATACATATCGTGCGTCTATTACAACACGATCGATATGGTTGAATTTTTCGGTCAGGAGACAGCAAGCAAGGCCAGCTTGGTGAACTTTCTTGTGCTGGATTTTGATACTAAAAATAACTATATTTCAAGCCCTGGCGAAGTAGATCCCATTTCTAACTCCAACTCGTTACCAACGGGTGTTTTTTTTTTGGCTAATCATAGGTATCCTACGTAAAATAATATTTTCTGACCATTTTCAGGTGAATGACAGTCAAAAACATTCCTCACATGCATGAGCTCCTTCTCCTACCTGAATTATATATAATTGTCACTTTGGCTGAAGCGATTTTTGGCCGAGCTCCTGCTCCAATTTGTGGTTTTGCGTCTTGATATTTTTTTCTAACTAATGGAGGGCCCACAGTTTATACTAAGCCGCCACCGAAAGGCTGATGGGTTTTTTATGAGGAGCTTTTTATTTCATGTCCGAAATACACTCGGAAGGGTTGACATTCCCTGTCGAGGGGCGACCGCATTCAGAAAATTTAACTTAACTTTTTACTTAAATTAATTTTGTATAACTTTCGGATGTTGCTCGGCCTTCCGAATTACAATATTACTAATTTTTATTTATTAAGTTTATTTAAAACTATGAAAATAAATAAAACTGAACTGAAATTTCGAGCTGTTGTCATAAAAAAGAACTTGCTACGTGGTTACTTAAAATTAGATTCCAATCATTTTAACAGTTTTTTAAGTTTTTTTTTAAATAATATTAATTGAAAATTTTTATTTTCTACATTTTTTGTTTTGAGAAATAAATTTTAAAACTTAATACCTCATGAGTAAGTACAAATATATAAATTCGACGATCAAATCGAAAGAAGAAGGGTTCATTTGATGTGGGGTTTCAGTGAATATTTCAATCTGATTGCATAGCATCAAGAGTATGATTTTGTAAAATTTAGAAAAAAAAAATATTTTTTTCAATTCGTAATTGAAGCATACCAAATTTTAGTTAATTATATGTATGTATTTGAACAAACATAAAATATGCATTTCTATGACGGTGGCAAATTTATTTATTTTTTGCAATTCCTGCATTTTCCTACAAAAAAATGTATACAACATATTAATTTACATTTTTCCCTGGAATAAGCAGATTTTCACTTCGAAAAGGAAAGTTATGGAAATTTATATGAGCATACAAGTATATATATCAATATGTAGCTATTTATACTTAATTATTTAATTATGTTTCCTTAGGAACGTGCCATAAACATACTCATGTAGCATAAACACTCAACTTTGTACCTAAATCTGGCAGTAAACTTCACACACGTATTGTGGAAATTCAATGCCAAAGTTATTCCCAAACAATAACAACAACAGCAATTA